TTTCAGTTTCTAAAAATAAATTAAAATTAAAATTTAAAAAAAATTAAAATTAATACACATTAATCTTATATTATAGCCATTTATATTACAAACTTTTCTCTTTTTTTTTTTAAATAGTCAACTACATTTAAAAATAACTACAGTGTAACTTATTATTAGAATGACAAATTTCTAAGAAACACAAGCTTTCAACAATGCAACCAACTACCCAACAGTACACAATAAAGAACTTTACCGGATCAAGCTAATACCAAACACAGCCTATGTTCAGCACCCAGTAAAGCTGCATTAATGAAGCTTTAAAATACGTGTAACAAGCACTCGCTTCAACTCGCGCGTGAAAACGGCATCGAAGTGCGCTAACATCGCGAAGCTAGTAAAGTTAATCTGATCAAACCGACGGCTCAGATAAATTTATGCTCTCAAAATCGACGGCTCAGAATCATAGCCATCCCAACGTTCTGAAACAGGATATGACTTGTAGAGCTGTAGTACTACTTAGTCTCAGTCCGGTCTGAAAAATATTAATCTCTTTAAAGAATAAATATATATTATTTTTTAAAATTATTCATCTTATTAAATTATTTTTATCTTTTATTTTTATTTTTTTAAAGAATAAATATATATTATTTTTTAAAATTATTTATCTTATTAAATTATTTTTATCTTTTATTTTTATTTTTTTAATACTTCATCAGCTAATTTTTAATAAAATTATTTTGATTTTTAATTTTTAGAATATAAATTTAAATATAAAATTTTAATAATTTATATAAATAATAATTAAATTTTTTACTAAACAAAAACATTTAATAAGAATGATAGATAGAAATGAAAAAAATTTTAATTATTATTTATATAAATTGTTAAATTTTTATTTAAAATTTAAGTTTTAAAAATTCAAAAATTAAATTAAATTAATTAAAAATAAACAGAGAAAATAGTTAAAAGTTCTTGAGATAGTTGGTACACACATTGAAATTAATTCAGTTTTAGTTAAGTTAAAAAAGACGACCTATGTTAAAATTAGATAATTTATGATAAATTATTTTTCTTTTAGTTTCTTAAAAAAAAAATTGGATCCATAAAATAAAGAGTAAACTCTTTTATCAATTAAATTACAACTTGTTAAATATTTTTTATTTTTTTTAAAAATGATAAAAATAAAAATATTTTTAAATTCTTTATTAAAAATAAATTATTATTTTAATAATATAGTTAGTTTTAAAAAAGAGAAAAAAAAATCCTTTATTGATTAAAAGAAAATTTAAAAAGAGAGGAGAGAATTCATTTGTATTGTCATTTCTTTTATTTTTTTAATTATCTAAATTAAAAAAGATAAAGAAAGGAAAATAAAAGAATTTGACATCCTTTTATCCACGTTCTCTCTCCTCCCTTTCCCTTTTTTCTGATTTACTCAAACAAAACATATTGTAAAAAAAATATAAACAATAGCTAAAGATGGAGGAACGGTTTGGTGTAGTTTGTTGAAATTTTTATTATTTTTTTAATTGTTTATAAGTGATAAATTTAAATTTTATTGAAAAAAATTTAAGAGTTGCTTTTAGAGATGAGAAAAAGTAAATAAAAAATGAGTAAAAAATAAAATTTATGAAAAATTTATATTTAAAATTTTTGATTTTTTATTATTTATTATCTTTTTAAGATTAAAAAATATTTAAAAATATAAACTTTTTAAAAAAAATTTAAACTTATAAAATATAAATAATATCAAAAAATTAAAGTATTTAGGAAACTGCACAAAACGAATTTGGAGTCTAACAAAAGTTAAAAAAATAAAATTTTTCTATAAATTTAAAATTTTATTGAGAAAAAATTTAAAATTAATTGTTAAAAATGTTTTTAAATAAGTTTAGAAAAAAATTTAAATATGGAATTTTTTTTAAATTTATTTAAATTTTTTTTAAAATAATTAAAAAAATTTAATAAAATTTTAAATTAAAAAAAAAAATTCTTTTAAACGAACACCTTTTAAATTTTATCCAACACCCTCCAGGAAAATGAGAGCAGAATCCACAGATGGCCCAAAAGGGCAACGAATCGTACCAACGTCACCGGTTGCAGCAAGTGGGAAAGTGGGGGCGCGTGCGTTTTGACGTGGCGCTTCATGAGTTATGATGCGGTGGTTCGTATCTTAATACCTTATCTAACCAATATGTCGGTGAAACGAAATCTATGGATTTTCCAGATATATATATATTTTTTAGAGCATGAAAAAACGTACTCATTCTCTAGAGCAAGGACGGAGCCAATGTACCATGAGTGGATGAATGAGTCGAAAAATATTTTTTTTCTGTTTAATCAAAAATTTTGATTTTAAATTTTAAGAATATAATTTCATTAAAACTTATAAAAAAAAATTTTATCATCTATTAGATTCTATTCAATTTAAATTTAAATTAATTTATAATTTAGTGAGCTTCTAAATATCGAGTAATTCATACTAGAAAACGAAAAATGGACGGAGCCAATGTAGTTGCCCCCCTAAGGTTTTGAAAATTTTCAAATATGATACATTAATTTTTATTTTTTTACAAAATTTTGTTTTTTGAGGTTTTAAATTATTGGGACCATTTCAAATATAAAAAAATTAGGATTTAAGTAAAGAAATTATTTCTCTCCTTATGATTAATTTTTAAGATATGATAATTTGGTTTAGGTAAGAAAAAATATTAAAAAATAGCCAAAATCTGATTAATTACATTAATATAACTTATATAAGTTTTTACATTGGTTATGCATAACTTTTTTGTACAATTTATATACTATAAAAATAAT